CTCTCTCTCTCTCTCTGGATGCAGCAAGCAGCGGAGTAGTAATTAATCAGTGAGGCGATATTTACAGTGGTGTAAAAAAATATCGCCTCGCTTGCTGCGTTCAGTCTGCACTAGGCATAAAGCTTCAGAAGTATCGTTTTCCTGCACGCTCATCTCTCCGCGCCATTATGCATCTGCTCATGACCATCGCTCTGAAATATTGCCGCGTATTTCCGACACGTCCTGCATACAGATTGCCCCGGGAAAGGGGCACCGATGTAGCAGGACACTCCGATTCCGAGGCAGTTTGAAGTCAGATTTCCCGTTTTCCGAAAAATTTCACTTCTCCCGCTCTAATTCGAGAAGCAACGTATCTGCATCCATTTTATATTGTCTATCTCATTATCTAGCTTCTATTTCTACTGATGATGTACAGCCATTAATTTCCTGAGCGGAAGCACTCTCCAGTCTCTCTCTTGGAAGTCCATTTTTTGTTTCCTCTCGCGAAATTATCTGCGAGTGCTGTAACTGTAACGACGGAGTAATTTCGATTAGATAGACGTCGGTGTGCCAATCGGGGAAAATCGGACACGAATCTGCCGACGACAGAACGGGGCCCCGTTACTCGCGTACCCCTTTTTCCCTAGGGATATATAATAACACGCGACACTCACGCGTGCATCATCGAGACACATTGCTGTTTTACATCTCAATCAGGGGTGTAGCCGGTAACTTTAGGGAGAACTAGAGAAAGAAACAATATTTCAGTGCGATCTCTCGCATGAACTAAATGTAACGTTGAATGAAATCCTGAAGAGGGAAGAATCCCTCTGTTCTACTCGGTTTTTACTTTATCGCTACACCCCTGTTGTTAACAATGATATGTACTGTATATATTCTACCTAGTAGATACTATATATTGCTCAGCAGCGCACTCAGACCATCGTTATACCGTTCACATACATTTCGCTCAAGCGCGACGTTTTCCGTTTTTTCTTTTCCTTTTTTTTCTTTTCGGCCAACTCCGACTTCTTCGCGCGCTTCTTTGGTTCTCTTCCGCCCTTCTTTCCGCCCCTCTTTCTTCGGCTTTTCTCGGGCTTCGCCACTGCTGTCTGCGTATACTACTTTCTCTTCCACACTGCATACTAATACTATCGTTACGATACTTACTTTCCGCCGTACCTCTTCTTCGTATCTCCCCTTCGTCCTTCTTCCGGTTTCCTCAAATTATTAACCCTCCTTCCTCCCTTCCGCCTCTTCGAGATTTTTGCTCGAGCTCCCCGGGGTTTGCTGTGCGTCGCATGATTTTTGTACACATTAAAATCGTCGTTTTGCACACATTAAAATCAGATATTTATTATAAATATCTGAGTAGTGTATTTTACATTTTTTTGGGTACTCAGTGAGACAAGTCTACTCAGAAGTGAACTGACAAATAGAACATACAATTGAAGAAAGTTGAAATAAAAGTGTACATTATAATGTAGATTATAAATATAAATTAAATAGTTAGACGAAGATTTTTCTAAGTCAGATAATTAATATGGTTACAAATTTTATATATATGTATGTATGTTGAATCAGATTGAATCTTTGCATTAACATGGAAGTAGACTTTAAGATGTCTAAGAAAATATAATTTCTTTAATTTTAATTTCAGTATTTATGAAAGGATCATTGTAAGTTTTTTTATACTCATAAAAATCGTGTCGAATGTCATTCTCGTAAATATTAGATAATTAACTGAAATTCTGATGATGAAAGGTAATAAAATAACTGACTAAATGACTTAAATTTGACGATTGAAATAATTTATTAATCAATGTTGCCACATTCAAGAATCTATGTTTAGCCATATATTAATATTTCAGTACCCAATTAACTATGCGTACGTAGGCAAAAAATTATACACCTTCGCGAAGAAAAGTCGTGCGACGCAAGCGCGGACCCCTTTACAAGAAACAGAGGAAAACAGAACAAGCGGACAACAGACGTGATCGTGATGTTTCATGACACGCGTGTCACAGCATCCGCGTAGCATTTCTCAGTCAACACGACGCGTGTAATCGTTTTTACACACATTACACGCATCTTAGCGGAGCGATTTCGCGGTTCTTCGTCTTCTCGCGATATCCTTTCATCGTCGAGATAAAGGCCGGAAACGACATGACAATAAGACGCAAAGCGAACAGCCGCGAATCCGGCATCCGCTTTTTAGCCGAACGTGTACCGTTACCAGTTAAATCGGACACCCACTATACTCGTGTTACAAGGATATCGTTTACACATATTGTATTGTTAGTCTAGAATGAGTATACTCCTACGCGCGTCTATATATAGAACTGTCTTTTAGGTAAACTTGTGTCCACTGTATAACGTAGTCAAATTCGTGGGCACTACAGGGTGTCCCAAAACTCTTCTTATTAATCCTTCAACTGATTTTAATTGATTACTTATAATTATGTCCCCCTTCTCAATTTCTTAGAATAATCTATGACAAATTAAATGATGATAAATTTAATTTTATTTGCTTTCGTTTTCAAATTAAATTAATTATGGACAGGGCTGGATCGTAAATGCTCCGAAAATAAATTTTATGTAAAGTTTATTATAAATAAATTTCAATTTGAAGATTATGGAAATGTTAATTATTGAAATTAAAGTTTCATCCGTTATTTAAATATTTTTTACGAGATAGTGAAGAAATGGCATTGTGTCACAATAACCGAAGTACAATTTGCATTCCCGAGTTATTGTGGTATTTCATCTGAAATTCTGCAAACGCTTGCGAGTTAGTGTTCGAAATTGGATGCTCTAGATTTCGCCTAATTTTCATTCAACGGACCCCGTTTTGATCAATGCGCAGTTAGACGCTGAGAACTTTCGGGACACCCTGTACAACTTAGTTGAAAGTTTCACCACCCACCAAGTGAGGAAGCAACTCACTGCACATATTCTCTAAGCACATAACAGAGCAACTCGCCCGATGCAGGAACGTCGAGCAAGGAAACTCTTCGCTTAACTGCAATTCGCGCTTTCGTTGCACTTCACTTTGTGCAGAGTTCGGGGACTCTATCGAGCGGATGTTTTCCCTCTCACGAACAATCCTTTATCCCAGCTGATGGCACTTAGGGAAGGTTGCGCTCTTCGTGTCTTTTGTACCGAGAAGAAAGATTGATGTTCTGTAAAATATTATAGAAGAAGGAATATTTTGTTTCAAATTCCTCGGGAGTCGTACGTTTTTCTTTTATAACAATAAGAAACTCCTACATGCTTTTTCGCATTTTATGAAATATCCTTGAATCATATGATTCAATAGATACCGATTCTGTATATTTCTACACTTTCTACGATTATGAAATTTCTCAAGCATCTTGTAACGTAAAATGAAATATATGATCGGTTCTATCCATTCTCTTTTAATTGTTCACACACATATGTATATTTGTTTTTTGATACATTATCTGATCTTTTAAACGAATGACTCCCCATTAGTTCATTGATCGAAGATAATAGATTCTATTAATATATCGTCGACCTCCGCTCGATTGATCTCCCGTTTAGAATACGAAATTGAACGCAATCGCTTGTATGACGAAGGAAAGAGGCACCTCTTGCAATAAACGCATGAAATTTTTTGCTCTTGCAATAAACGCATGAAACCATGAAATCCCGAGAATAATCGGAAATACTTGATAAATTTTCATCTAGAGATGCGAAATTTTCACTTCTCGTTAAATTTTATAATACGTTGCTGAGGAAATGAGACGAGGAGCAAGTAGAAATTCGGGAGATTACAAAAAGGGTGCTCCCTTCCTTCGAGCGAGGGTTCTAAGCGAACCCGCTTATCTCTCGAGAAGATTAAATTAGATAGCGAAAGAGGATTGGGCAATGTACCCGCGCTTTCGTTTGCCCCTTTAGCCGATAATCGCTTGATCACATTAGGTTGTTTATGTTCGTGATGAAGATTCCCATAAGTTTATGAGCTAGCTTGAAGCTGTATACTTTAACTCTTGGCGGTGCCTTTTTTATTCCGTAATCATCTTTACTTTAAAATAAATATATTTATATATTTATTCATGTATTTATTTTAATGGAAAGATATAAATCAAATCCTAGAAATTAACATTGGAAATAGAAATTAATCGAAACAAAATCTATAAAAAAATGAATACATTAATCTAATAAAAGATCCGTGATAAAAAAAATTGAGACAAATACAGAACTTTGAAAGATCAAAATTTAAGTAAAGTGAGGTTAAAATCGAAACCTGCACTGCGAAGGGTTAAAGCTACCTTTTTCTTATTTTACAGAAGCTTGATTATATCACGTAGAATACTTTGTTGCCAATAGAGGAGTGTCTGCAGACACTCTCCAAGTCAGATTTAGTTCGCGCTTTCGTAGAACGTTCGCTATGGCTTCTAATTAGAAGTAACGATCTTTCTCGCGTGATTGCCCTTTCCCCTTCGTGTCTTCACGAGCGAGAATCATCTTATCGCCAACTAACGTTACATTCCTGTGAAAAAAACAGAACAGCTGGACCGAATTGAGGAGGGCATGGACCAGATTAACGCCGACATGAGAGAGGCCGAGAAGAATCTCACTGGAATGGAGAAGTGCTGCGGCCTTTGCGTTCTTCCCTGTAACAAGTACGACTATTTTACCGTATCTTACCTCTCTCCTTTTTGCACTATTGCTCTTCTTCCTTAAAAAAAAAAAAATCGAAAAAAATTCTCTGCATATTTAACAATCTCTGAAGTCTATCTGTATTAATAAGTTGCTCGGTTAGACTTTACGAGCGCCGAGAGATAAATTTAACATCTCCATATTTAAGAGATTATTTTAGAAATTAAATAATTGAAGACATGTTGACTAATTAAGGAGAATATTAAGAAATTACTTTAATTTAATTTTTACGGAAAATTTACACTGCGATGGACTGTATAAAAATTGTACAATATTTGAATTGAATTTTCACGATGATTCTAACTGAAATTGATATGTCGAAAAGGAGCCATTTGATACAATTTTTTCAAAATGAATAACTCGTTTATCAGCAATTTAGAGACAATTTAAAGTGTAAATTATAAAGTAGCGCGGAAATCTACAAAATTAGCGAAATTACTTTTATTGAACGTGACTTGCCAAGACCGGCTTTCAAATGGATGTTTGCTGTTGCCTTCTGAATGTTAGTCATTTCTTCCTCTGAAACCGACTTAAGCGAGTCGCTCGCGTGACAATTTTACGCTTACAGAGGTGCCAGCTTCAAGGAGGACGAGGGTACGTGGAAGGGCAACGACGACGGTAAAGTTGTGAACAACCAGCCGCAACGGGTGATGGATGACCGCAACGGTATCGGGCCGCAAAGCGGCTACATCGCCAAGATCACAAATGACGCGCGCGAAACGGAGATGGAGGACAACATGGGCCAGGTGAACACGATGATCGGCAACCTGAGGAACATGGCGATCGACATGGGCAGCGAGCTCGAGAATCAGAATCGGCAGATCGACAGGATCAACCGCAAGGTGAGTTGGCAGCGAGTAATGGCGAGTGAATGCGCACCACCGGCGTCCAAACGCTGCACCGCAGTCGTCGCGCGACTTGGCATGGCTCTAAAGAAACCCCTCGGACGGCAATCCGCGTTCGTCTTACTCGTCGACATACATATCGCGAGCATTGACGCGAGAAAACGGGGCATCTTGGACAAATCTTGGACTTGGAGCAAGAATAGAGCGTCTAAAGCTTGGAATTTCTACGTTTGTCTGCTGCACCCTTCTTCTAAGTTCTCACACGGGAAAAATGCTTTTGCTGAAGTATCTAAAAATTTAGCTAAATATGTAAACGTGAAAGTAATTTTGTTGGACAAAGTAATTATGTGAAACGCTCAAACTGCTAGAATATCGAAACCTTTTGTAGCACTGCTCATCTTGTTTGAGTTTTCTACATAATTATTTTGATAGATCTACAAAATTATTTTCAGATCTGTACCTGAATTTTTAGATACTCCAGGAAATTTTATTTTATTTTATTTTTTTTTGTATAATTAATGAAGATTAGCAGATTGTTTCATATATAAAAGATTCTTGAAAGATTCGTAGTTAAGATTGAAAAATGGACGATAGATTTTCTTGATTAACTACGGCTATTGTCGTTTGATACAGAAGGCTTAATGTATCTTTTTAATTTACGAACCAATTTTATTTTTAGATTAATGATGTTCTCTTTATATTTAAGACGCTTTATATCACCAAGGTTGTAGGGCTATCATTAAGATTGTAGGTTGGTAAACTTTAAAATACCAAATGATAACCTTCGAGACGTAATCCAGTATGTCGATGAGATTGCTGAAGTCCAATGCACACTGCAAACAGTGTTATTAGCAAACTAATCGAACAAATCGCGAACTATTTTGAGAAATTTTAATTAAAAGAATTTGAAAAATTGAGAAAAATTGAAAATCCGAAAGTTTTAAATACAAATCTAAAAGTTTGAAAACTAGCACTTAGAATTCATGAATTTTATTCTTCAAAAATATATACATTCTACATTTTCAATTAACCTCTCTAAATTTTTTAACTGAACTGAATTCTTCAAATTAATTTAAAATGTGAATCGCTTATTAATTAGATTGAATCTTTAGTTAAATCGTGGACGTTGAATTTTTCGTAGAAAAACATTAATTCACGATTTAATATTTAATTTGTATTTGTTTGAATTAGTAATGTACGTTTATAATGGACGGGCACAAAAGATAAATTTAATTAAATGCAATTAATGTCATGGTCTGAAAGATGATCGGTGCAATTTCACTATTTGCGTGTGTATTAGACTACTGTAGGATGAGCTGACACGTGTCTCAATATAGATATGCGCGAATTTATATGTTACAATGCACAGGCTCAGAGCGATGCACATCACGTTCGTCGTCGCTTTCGCTTTCTTGTATGTCTTTCCTTCCTTCCTTCCTTCCTTCCTTCATCCTATTCTCTCTATTTTTATATTTCCCCATTTTTATAATCCCAATCCGGGCAGGTGTCCCGGCGACGTCTATCGTCGGCTTTCTCCGTCTTTTCCTTTAAAGACAAGAATGTCTAAAAAGCAACGTAATATGCCCCATGTCTAAGCCTTACGATTTTCTCAACGCAATTTTCGATAGCGCAATCTTAATCTTATAAACAACACATAAATGTTTTAAATGTATGAGTAACGAATAATCAATTTAAAAGAAAACGTAAATTTGAAAGCTAGATTTGTTCTTTAAATAAGAGATTTTATTATTCGCAAAGTAATTTTATTATTAACCCTCCACAATATAAATTTGGGCTCTTCTGGTTAATAATAGGAATTTTCGAGAAACAGAGCAAATTTTTTATTGTACTGGATTAAAAATCTGAAAAAATTCTGTTATATAAATTAGTTGATCAAGCAATTGAGAGCAAAAAAGACGTAATTATTAGAGCGTTACAGTTAACAAATATATTTTTTAGAGACCTTATACATATGATTTGACAAAATCGGACGTGGGAATTGAAGAGGCTCTCTCGGCTGCTCTCTTGGACCTAATTATTGTGAACTACTTTTAAATTTACTATTTGGACATCGCTGAGGATGGCTCGAACTGAGCCGAAACGTCCGATTTTGTCAAATCATCATACATATGTAAGGTCTCTAAGAAATATATAATATTTATTAACTGTAACGCTCTAATAATTGCGTCTTTTTGCTTTCAATTACCTGTCAATTAATTTATATTTCTTTGTTATCTCGAGAGCTTAAGGTATTTTATTTTACGCATACATTGTCAAAGCTTTAACAACGAGCTTTTAACATCATAGAAGTAGGATCGTATTTTACTTATTTCTTACAGATTTATATTTAATTATCAAAAATTTGCAATCTAAATATCGATGGTACCTTCAAAGATCCGATAAAGAGTTAATTATATCGAGTTTTATGTAGGAGGTACAGAGATCAAGTAATGAATTTTTGCTCTTTTGGATTAAAATTCGAACGCGATCGAAATTGCGATTTGTGAAATTTCAAGATTGATTCTAGAGCTCCGTGAAATTCCAATAAACTCGAAATTGCATGCTCACGCACGTGCGTCGCACAATATTAGTCGCCACGATATCCGCCTCCACGTCTTAAATATCGCGCCCTTATTCCACGGCTCCTCGCTGAAATTCTCTGGGCGCTCTCCGCCCTACTCGTCGATCATCCCTTCAGCACAGCCTGCCTTCGGTGTTCTTGTACGTAATTACTGCACCATCCACGTTTCAGATTTATCTGTCCTTCTCTTTTTATTCTTTCTCTTTCTATCTCTTTTTCACGAAAATCTTTATCATGGGACTATGATATTTTTCATAGGTTTTCAACACGTTGTAAAATATATATATCACTAACAAATCAAAATAAAAAGTTTTTTATTTCGTCAGTCTTTTATTTGTTCAAAACATTGGCACAATTAAATCTCTTTAATTATTTAATTAGATTATTTTTGAAATAAAAATGATTTATATTATAAAATGTTTACGTTAGAGAAATGAACTAGTTTGTGCAAATAAATAAACAAAATATAAGACATAAATAAGTATAAATAAGACAATTTTTTTAATATTCTTTTTTTCTTAAATAAGAATAGTTGAGAGAATTTGTGACCAGTTATGTCTAAATTTTTAATATCATAGTCCCTTTTAGTAGATTCTAGACAAAAGCAGACAGAATTATCTGACAGTAAAAAGGTTCTCGAACGAACAATACGTATTTATAACTTACGGTGACTATATTCAATAATTATCTGTCATTACTTACTATTGACGCTGCTATTGAACTTGCGATCGATCTTGTCATAGGACTCATATTTACCGCGTATAATATCTTGCAACGTTTAACATTAACCCGAATTAAACGCGCTTATCAATAATCGATATTCGGATATATCAACATTTTCCCTTCAACCTTCGCTATTTATTCAGACTAAATTTATCATCGAGCTATTTCTTTCGCTTTCTTCTACTTATTCCTTTTTCTTCTTCTAGCAGCTCTGCGCTATCTTTTCTTTCATTCTAAGATTAACATTTCTCTCTTTCTATTAACATTCTTTCTTCAATCACATTGTGGACGACAAGTATTGATCGTTTGAGGATCTTTGACCCTTTAAAGGCCATACGTTTTAAAGTATAAATGTAAAAAATTCTGAAAATTTATTAATTTTTTATCTCTTACTTGTAATCCACATAATTCACACGTTAATTTCGAAGCCTCATCTGAAGAGGGATATGGTCTTTAACGGGATATCATAGTGGTGCACAATCTCGAACAGTCCGCGATTAATTAATTCAGAAGATTCATAGACAAGTCAGAGACGGCAAACAAGCGAGAGAGATCCAACCGAGTATTAACTTTTCACGATTGGCATCGGAATTCGATTGATTCGTTTTAAATATAATTCATACAACCTGTATACGATGTATATAACATTAGTTATCGATCGTATCGCTACATAGCGACCAGCTGACGATTTTTCGCAAGCGACAAGCACGGCAAAGTTTGTTACGGTCCAGTCGAGCAGGGTATAGACACGGGGGGTTTGAGAAACCACGAAACTAACGTCACGAGAGATTGTGCACCACTCGCCGGTGAACTTAAGCCGCACAATCACACGCCCACACACATACACACACACACACACACACACACACGTCTGTGACCGAAACCCAAACTGATAATCCGCAGGGCGAGTCGAATGAAACGAGGATAGCCGTGGCGAACCAGCGTGCGCACGCCCTGCTCAAGTAAAATGCGTCTTCTCTCTGTCTCCACGTGTCCGCCTCCTCCGAGCCCCAAGTTGCATATCACCGAGACGTCGTCTCGAGCCAGAAAAAAGAAAGAAAAAAAAGAAAAGAAATGGAGATTATACGCGTGTACTCGTGTGTATTATACATGATAGAGAGGCCTGACACACACGATCTCGGGGCTGGGATTATTCGGGCGTGAGTAAAGTCGTAACCACACCAAATTGCCGATTGTGGTATGGCATGATATAGTTTATTTACTGATTCCTCTGAAGGCCATGGTACACGTAGGACTTAAGGCAGTAAGACGTAAGGGAATCAACATGTTGAATTGGCTACTGCTTTACGTTATGACCTTACGGACTCTACCGTGTTTGATCAATTCGCTTACTACTTACGTTTTACTGTTCAAGTCCTTTTTTCGTGTGCCATTGGCCCTTAGGGTTACGAAAAAAAAGACACAAGCTCTGAAAAAAAAATCCCACAATACAGTTAAAAAATAAAAAAAGTATACATGACTTAGATTGGGATTGCGACTGACGATTACTTTTCAATCAGTCAGAGCAAAGCAGTCACCGATTGCTTTGCTTTGATTGGTTGAAAAGTAATCGTCAGTCACAATTACAATTCAATCGGCAATCGGTAGTGCAATTACGGTGGATGTCAAGTGCTAAATTACAAAATCCACGCGCTTAGGTATCAGTTACCGGAGTCACTTGAGTGTTGATTTGTCAAATAGGTTAACGCATAGTGACATTGTACAGGGTGTCCCATTCATCAGCGGTCGATTTGAATTTCGCGCTATTTTTAAAACGATGCCGAATCTGAGATCGTGATACGCCTGAATAATTTGCACGCGTTCTTTCACCGTGTACTTTTCCATGATTAATTTCCCATCTGTCTAGATGACATATGTGAAGTTTGAGGTTAACCGGGTTTGACGTTTTAAAAATAGCGCGAAATTCAAATCGACCGGTGACGAATGGGACACCCTGTATACGCGAGCGAATATTAAACGATTACCGGGAGTTGTACCGCCGAATCTGAATGTAATACTTAATTTATTGGAATTTAGTCGGGGGTGCGATAATATTGCAATTGGCTCATACTTAACCGCTGAAACGTTGGAATATCGAATTATTCGAATACTCCCAGCTCTGCGAACGAGTCTCCCGTCTGTCCCCCGTTCTCCCTTTGCTGTTTTCTCGCCCGGGCACCAATCCGATTCCGCTAGCAACCTGTGCAACAACGGAAAACTACCACCATTAAATAACTCTCTACCACTTCTACCACTACTTCTATCACCACTACCAAGCTTTCCGTCGGTATACGACGATATACAATGAACAACCGCTCGATAGTCGCGGTACACGAAAGAGCTTCTTGGTAAAGAATGGCCGATCTAGTATTTGCACAGCCGGATTGCGCGAGGAATATAATCTTGCCCAGTTGCTCTCGCGCAAAAAATCTTTGTTGTCTTCTTTCACGAATAAAAAGCTACGAGTGTCT